TTTTACAAAGCGCGACACGCGACGCGCGACAACGCGACATTTCATCAAAATGTCGCATTGTCGCGTGTCGCGTTTTAGTCAAATGCATTATAATACATACTATACTCAATATGTTAACAAAACGCGACACGCGTTTTATTAGTTACGGCAGATTTTATAAACTATCACAAGCATGATTACTTTTCGATGTTTGGAGTGGATTGGATTTGAGTGGAGTGGATTTGAGTGGAGTGGATTTGAGTGGAGTGGAGTGGAGTGGAGAGGAGCGGAGTGGAGTGAGTGATTGGAGCGGGGAGTAGAGTGAGTGGAGCGGAGAGGGGCGGAGTGAGTGAATGAGGGAGTGGAGTGAGAGAGTGGGTGGAGTGGAGAGGAGCGGAATGGGTGAGTGAGGGAAGTGAGTCAGTGAGCGGAGTGGAGTGGAGTGGAGAGGAGCGAAGCGGAGCGGAGTGGAGTGGAGCGGAGAGGAATGAGTGAGTGAGAGAAGTGAGTCAGTGAGCGGAGCGGAGTGGAGTGGAATGAGTGAGTGAGTGAGTGGAGCGGAATGGAGCGGAGTGGTGTGGAGTAGAGTAGAGTGGAGTGGAGAAGAGCGGAGTGGAGCGGAGAGGGGTGGAGTGAGTGAGTGGGTGGAGCGGGGGAGCGGAGTGGAGGGAGGGAGGGAGGGAGCGAGCGAGCGAGGGTTGATTTCTGGCACTCCAAGGGTACGCAACTCCGCCAAGCGATTTGACCGCTTTTAAAATCATAATCATAACATTCCATTTGTATGGCGTTTTCCCAAGAAGAATATCACGTTCAAAGTCGACCAAAACTGTATTTGAGGTGCTGGATGGTAAAGTGATATTACCATCTCATTCTACCTGGTATCCATCCATTGCTGGCTGAACAAGTTCATCAGCGTCGGACAGGACTGTACCAAGAATCTCTCTGAGGAGCCACACTGTGGAACATAGTGACCCATTCGTGGACACCACTTGATGTTTCTGCCGATGTGGCCTGAATTTTAACAATATTTGAGTTTTTTCACAACCTGTGAGCTTGATATGGGTGAAATGTCCAAAGTGATGAATGTGTATGGTGCTGGGATTCGAACCTATGATCATAGTTTTCTGGTGTGACTAAGAGACACAACTCTGCACAGCAAATTGCCCCGCCTTGAATGACAGAGCCACCGTGTCCCGTGATTACAAAGAGTAGTAGCGCTAATAATTTGTCTTGCTGCTAAAACACACTTGATTGGCCAAATACATTTACAATATATACAATAATTTTCAAAGCAACAATGAAAGATTTCCATTAAGTTCAAGAAAAGCAGCCCCCATTATCATTACGCGTACTACTTCATTGTAAAAACCTTTGGAGGTAACAAAAGACCACTGAAGTGTGAAATAGAGTATAACATATCCTGCGCATGCGTAGACTCATTGACTTTTTACGCATGCGCACCGGTAATCGAAAAGGGCGTGTGAATTTTTTAGGCTTCTTTTTACACATCTTAGATAGGGCGACGCGCGACAACGCGACATATTTTGACCTTGAAACTTGTCGCTATGTCGCGTGTCGCCCTTTGGAAGAATAGAAAAATATTATTCAAAACGCGACACGCGACATCGTGACAATGCGACAAATGGGCGAAATGTCGCGTTGTCGCGATGTCGCGTGTCGCGTTTTGGTTTATTTTGCCTCACTTTACTTGTTTTTGACAACGCGACAATGCGACATAGCGACAATGTCCCTTCTAGGATTCCATACTTTTCCGCTGATCTACACGTCCTTGAATAACACCAAATTTTCATTGATATTTGGGTTTTGCGTTTCTTTTTTTGAAGAGTGTAGATGAGTTATACAACAATCAGTTTCAGTCATTAACACATGTCATACTCATGTCATACATTCAGTCCGTAAGAGGCGACTAACGGGATTGGGTGGTCAGGCTCGCTGGCTTGGTTGACACATGTCATCGGTTCCCAATTGCGCATATAGCTGCAATATTGCTGAGTGCATAATAAATACAAGATCAAGATCAAGATGGTTTATTGTACATAAGGCCTCTGGCCCGTATACATAGTATTGTAATGACAGGCAAGGTATGGACATTGCAAACAGTGGAAAGCATCATAACATTGTTAGGTTAGTTGACAGGAGAAATCAGACTCTTCCTTAACGACAACGAATGTGTTAAAAAGAGGGCTAATTTTACATGGACAGATTCGTGTTTTGATGATAAAATTCTTATAAGTGTTTCTTAGATATATTTCCACATATCCTGAGCCAAATTCATCTCAAAGTCACATAAAGCTACTTTAACTATGTTGTTGTAAGAATTAATGGAGTGCTGGGAGAAGGGACATCCCCACTTCAATTCAATTCTTTATTCTCATAAACCACCTTGGTGGTACAAGAGCATATATTGTAAACATATATACAAATACAAATTCAAATTCAAGATGGAAGTAAACAACATATTAACATTTTTTTCTGACAAGAGATGATAGATGTAGGATTTATTTTGATAGATTTACTATGTCTTGGGAACTTAGCCTGTTCCAGTGAGACTCAACGGTTCAGTGATTATAGATAGTAGGCGTTCTGATATGTCTGCTCATTAGGCGATGTGGGAAAAATTTAGCAGGAAATTTAGGCGAAGTGGGTATGCACCGTATAAAGTGTCTTAATCGGGTATTCAGGCTCGACTCGGGCATGGTAACTGAGAGCGAAAGGACTATAAACCGGCATTAGTCTAGACTAGTATATTCAGTCACACACGTGCAGACACACACACGCACGCACGCACGCACAAACGCACGCGCACACACACGTGCATGCACATCCGCATTTAAGATCAAGAATCTTGAAAGCGACAGTATAAAGCAGCATTATTAAATAAATGGAAGTAACAACTTACAGGTTTGTAGTGTGGAATTATATACCAATTAAAATAATTAAATATATGTTTCAAAGGCAAGGTGTTCTGTACCAAACGTTCAATCAAACGTTATATATATGTATATGCCATCTTTTAATTACATCCCTTTATACTCTAAAATCAAATCATTAACATGTCCATTGGGCATTTAATATCACACCACCTTCTAAATGAATGTTATGCCAGTTTAATATGCTTTCACGTGTTGATCAGAAACTACAATCCACCACAGAGTTGGGTGTGTATGGAACGTCATCTGTTACGTCTCAGTGGAGAAAATAGGAACTAGAGGTGAAGCTTCTTGCGGAGTGAAATTTGTTTTACGGTTTCATACATACTCCTCTTAGGACCGATGTCCGGTTAACTGGACTGTGTCGCCATTGTAGTATGTTTGGCGAACAAAACACATAAATTTAAAGTAAGTATATCGCCGTGGTAGTTTCGTAACCTGACAGTTAGGTCACTGAGTTATATCACCGTTAAAGTTTTGTTTGCGAAAGGACAGTCACTGTGATATATACCAGTAGTAGTTGAGTTGACGACCGTCTGTAAATAATCGAGCCTGGACCAGACAATCCAGCGACTGACATTATGAGATGCGATGACAGATGACAGCAACTCCCAGTATCGTAGGTCACGTTTAACCAAGAGTGACAAAGTAATGGGTGAAGTTACCGAGGGAAGATAACGTTGAATATTGAACAGACAGAAGTTGTTATTCATAAAGTTATATTCAAAACTGAGGGATGGAAGACCCGGGTTCGATTCCCCACATGGGTACAATGTGTGAAGCCCATTTTTGGTGTCCCCCGCCGTGATATTGCTGGAATATTGCTAAACGAGGCGTAAAACTAAACTCACTCACATGTTCAATATTGTACTTCCAACTTCTAACATGCCACTCAAAGAAGTTAAAAGATATCGTTGTTCTGAAAACATCAAATGACTATTATGGCCGTACACGCCTTGTTACTGGGCCTGTACGATGTGGAGGAAGGATGCTCAGTCGACTGCGATGATGCAGAAAAGTGCAGTCTAAAGAGACACTTATAAAATATAAAATATCTGGTCCTGGAAACACATGCAACCAGTTCTGTGGTTCAATGGTTACTGTCCCCGACCTGAAGGTCGATCCAAGTCATCCATAATTGGAAGGTTTTAATTCTTATGTGATAAAGAAAATTGATAAAGAAAAGCACAGATATCCCGCTACGACAATGTAAGTCATCAGTGGAACGATTAAGTTTGTTACATAAATTATTTCTCCGATTACGACGTTCCTGGTCTTCTAATCGTGCTTCTGGAAACTTTCCATCTGCTCAGATTTAAGTGAGTCTATGTCCATCCTTTGGTATTCTAGTCCTGTATTGTTACTTCACCTCTGAGATCTTGGATTTCTGCATTGGTAGATTTTACGCTCTCTTTTATTGAGCTTATTTCTTTAGTAAGTCTATCTTCTGTTTGCTTTATTTGGGCTATAAGTGCATCTTTCATTGTATCTAGTTGGGATGATTCAGGTCCAGGGTTCGACTCAACACCACCCGCTAGTTTTATCAAGGATGGGAGGCATACAAGGGTGGGTTGACAAGCAGTAACTGAGCCAGTATCCCATTTTCGACAGGTAAACAATGTTCCATATTGCTGAATAAATGTACTGACATAAACCTCATCTCCCTGACACATGGAAGCTGGCGTAATCCACGTTGGTACTGTTTCTTCAAGCCGTACCTGATCCTGCAGTGGTTAGGAGTAGAAGCAGAGACCCGCACATCGTATACCCGCAATATCATAATGATAATCGAACATATGTGTATAAGTGAGTACCACCTGGTGTCTTTTCTTACTCTTGAAACAATCTGTTTGGAAAGGAAAAGTCCACAAAGTTTGTTCACGAATGAAGGATATAACCCGCCACAATCCAGAATCAACGACCGTTTGTGACTGAGACACGGCAGCATATAGAATGTAAGGAAAGAGGGACAACTCGCGTCCCGCAAGGGAGCTAACTCTGTCAACATACCCTTACCTACACACCTGGAAGATGGTCAGAATATATTCTTCCACAATATAGAATCCACTATCATCTCTCGTCTGTCACCAAGGATTTCGTGACAGCTACAACATGTCCGCCAGACACAAAGACGCGAGGTAGTCTGGCAGCTAGGCTTGTCGTCACATCGTGAGGAATTATTGTGGCAGCCATCTTTGTCACGCTGTTGGGGGAGGTGAAGTCGTCTGTGATGATGTTGAACGTTGTGGACGAAGGCTTTGGTTTATCCAAGCGGACTGTGATGGCATCCATGGACACTGTCCCCACAACCGGAAGTTGGAGACCATCTGAAATAATGAGGGAATTATGGGTAACACTGCACTAAACCTAAATGTCAAAAAAAGACGAAGGCCAAAGGGCTGTGATAAGGATGCAACATCTTAGTAAACATGTGACGAAACGAAACCTATGTGAGGGACATTCACTTTCCCTGAGGTAGTGTCATGTTAGGACACGGACGCTTGGGATTATTCTTGGAATTCAACTGGAAGCTACCCACTCCTTACCATGTTTCTAAAAATAGCCAGAGACATCTATAATACTGACAAACGGCCTCACCTTCATCCAGAGACACCACACCTCTGTTCGACAACAGCCTGCTGTACCCATCTGCATAGCCCAGACTGAAGGTTGCAATGGTCTCTGTAGCCCGAGTCCTGGAAGCAGAAAGAACCATCTGTCATCCTCGGATTTGATATGTTTAATGTAAAGGCGACAAAACCTTTTCCACATCGACAAGGATCCTCTGCCAAAAGCAATGTCGGTAGTACGATTTCGACTATATCATGAAGCTGTGTTTATATATCAATGCCACCTACCCTGCCTTTTTAATTCGTCGGTCAATGTTGATGACATATTCTAGTCAGACATATTGAATGTGTATCACTACACTCACAGTCGCGTCTGGTGGCTAGACAAACCAGGGGTAGATTCTGGACATAATTAATTGCCAAACCACAATTCACTATGTATAGATTAATTACCATTACAAGGTAGTTATTTAAATAAACTCTGCGAGGGTTTTAGCCCGAACAGAGTTTATTTAGATAACTACCGTAGTGAGGATGATTAAACAGCTTGCACCACGAGGGCATACTTATTTAAGACGCGTGTAATGTATTAGGCATGATGGACATTAACAAAATGAGTACAAGTTTATTGTTTTTAAATAGAAATAATTGCCCTAGGGCAGTTATCCAGTTATGCTAATAAAACACTTCCAAGAACAATGGACATAACTTTCCCTAGAGGTTTAAATATAGCTATCTGCAGCGCGATCCCAGCCGGGAGGTAAACAGGACAACATATGATCTTATCTTGGTATTTTTGCTTACACGTAGGTGTTGTCATATCCCACGACCCTGCCCTGGGGCAGTTGCTTGATGAGGGTGGGGCGAGCTCGCCACGAGAGAACGGGTCTCAGTCCCAGGGACTCCACCAACTCACCAGTCTCCGACATGGGTTCTGTAAATACCAGGACGCGTTATACACGATGCCTTTTTCTACATTGTCTTCAATAGCCGCACAAAACAACCTTACCAAGCAGTTTGAAATGTTCTCTTCTGTCCATTGCACAAATTCATTTCATAATCCCGTCTTGCCTATGTGGTTATTCAGCAAGGTAGGTTCGTTGTCAAGATCTACCAGTTGAAGCAAGCAGCCCTACCGCCATTATACCTGGGGAGGGATGTGGAAGACAGCCTGACCTGGAGGAAGCCCGTACATGCAGCTCCCGGGTCTGATGAAGTCCAGCTGTGTCCCCAACCCTCTGATGATGGCGGCGGAGCTGGCGACATGCACCTTCACGCCACTTGCTCTGTGGACAATACACAAAGTCATCTTTACTACATGACTATTGTTTCATATTTAGGTATCAGAGGTATCAGAGCTGCGTCATCAAACAGCTATGTATATGCAATGAAGATAATTTCTTAACGGGCGCAGGACTAACATCTAGTCTCTGAAATATATATATTTTACAGAAGAATTGTTCTTAAATTATGTTCATAAAATATATTAAATAGGAGCCCAGAGACTTTTTCATTTTCAGAAACTGCAGTATTGAGGACTTGTCACATATTCTAGGCTTCCACGGGCTGTATTGGGTATATTTGTGTGACAGACTAAACCGGAGCTTGAATGAGTCAAGACATGTTATCTTGGCATGTAAGAGTTTGTAATATGCATACGTGGAACCATTGTCAAATATTTTCTATAATCTATAGCATCTAATTACACATCCATACACAATACTTTAAGTTTTACTGTTTCGTGACCTTCAACCTGTGCCCCGGTAAGTAAACTTGCAGCCTCACTGACATAGCTGATCAAGGTTCCACCACACAGCATGTCAAAAATCTGCTGACAATGCGCCAGCATGCAGTAGCTTAGGAACCACACTAATGTTTCTCAGAGCTACCAAGGTGTATAAGGTATACCTGAGTGGTCCTACCAGGGTCATGAAGGTGTTCAGCTGCTGCTTGGTAAAGTAGGGGTTGTCCCAGGCCTGGGAAAAGTGCGTCATCACACTGTGGATAGTTAGACCGTGTGTCTGGCAGAACTGCAAGGAGACAATTGTAATACCATCCCTGCATGCAATCTCCAAAAAGGATGTTATCGATGAACCAACATACAATGTCAGATGCATAGGATCATGTTTGCAAATTAACAATTGTGGTATTCAGTCAAATTCGATAACTAAATCACAGATTCATCCTGTGCTCAACTCTTTTCCGATGCATTACGCACATCCGCACAACACATTTGGTATGGAGAAACGTTCTATATAATGCAGCATATTATCCAGAACGGTGCCCATGTTAATTCCGGAAAACCACAAGGACCTACTTGTATAAGGAAGAGGAAGTCGTGAGTCTGACACCCGTTCCTGGACATTCCCGTGTCAATCTTCAGCACCACCTGGTGTCTCTCCTTCACCTAGAAATAACTGACACCTTCTAAATCCACACAACACACCGTGCACATACGTTGCTCTATACAATCAGGGACGGCGGGGTAGCCTAGTGGTTAAAGCGTTCTCTCGTCACGCTGAAGACCCGGGTTCGATTGCCCAAATGGGTACAATGTGTGAAGCCTATTTCTGGTGATATTTCTGGAATATTGCTAAAAGCAGCGTAAAATCAAACTCACTCACTCACTCTATACAATGAAACTCATTATTCTGAACCCTGAATGTGATCACCACGAACTGCTTAGTTGGACCTGTGAAGGATACAGTGTGAACTTGAAACCACTTCGACGTAGAAATGTATAGGTGTTCTACCGAATAAATTATCGGAAAACGCACCGAACTTTTAGTTACCCTCTCCTTTAAAGTGATGACATGGTTGTTACTGTTGACTTGGTTACAGGAGCTGTTGTAACTTACAGGGTCTGTTGTGATGGCCTTACGCCATTCCTTGAGGAAGTTGAGTTCCGCCACCGTCGGTGTCAACGTATACTTCACCAATATAGGGATGTCCTCCTCGATGGCGTTACCTGTGATATAAATAAATCTTCTGAGGACGTTGAAAAGAAACTATATCGAGACGGTACCAGCACTGTAACAAATAGTTCGAATCCAAAACACCGCGAGTTCATTGTCCCATAATTTTGAGGCGTTTAGGGTCTAGCGCTGTCTATGTTTGGAGAGTTTAATGGTTTGAAGAAGGGAGACACTTGGATGTCTATATCAGTAATCAGATACCCTTTGATTGAGATGCCTGTGTCCCAGAAATACTGTTAGTTATACACAAACAACACATTATAAACACATCACTCTTGAAACGCACCTGAAACCTTTACCTGTGCTAACACATCACTCTTGAAACGCACCTGAAACCTTTGCCTGTGTTAACACATCACTCTTGAAACGCACCTGAAACCTTTGCCTGTGCTAACACATCACTCTTGAAACGCACCTGAAACCATTGCCTGTGCTACGGACATTGCCTGTGCCACAAATGTCATTTTTTCTAATACCATTAATGGTAATTGTTGTTAAACAATATCGTGATTGCATTGCATTGTTTCTGGCAAGATTCAGCAGATGCTGTTTTTAACGACGATTTCTTTTCAGGAACGTGTGTTTTACTATCTAATGTAAGCAGTTGTGTCGGATTAACTATTGCTTGATGTGCATTGTTTGATCGCCATTCTAGAAGTTGGTGAGTCAAAAATGACATATCAACTGTGAGGTTGTTCCCGGTATTTGGACAGTATCGCACGAACGCATCCATCAATAGCGTGCGCCTTCACGTGGACTCGTCAACTGTGTCGTGTGATTGTTTCTCGATTGTAGTGAGTCTCGTCTTTGTCTTCGTCAAGTAAACGTCTCTTATTTGTTCATCTGTGTTGCGTGTTATGTTGGCCTGAAGACCTTACAATGGTGGCAGCGTTGGGATAGTGTAGACACATGGAAGGACTTTGAAGGAAGTGCGACTTTAAGAAGAATTTCAAGGAATGTGCTCTTCATCGAACTGTGACGTGAGTTTGTTCCATTTTGCCATTTTGACCTTGTGGTTGAACTTTTTCGTCTTCTGTGTGAATGACATTGAACATTTAAGCAAGAATACTCTTCATTTCATCATGGCTGAAGGTGGTTCAAGTCAAGAACATTCTGGCGATATCAAGCATTTCAAAATTCCTCTATTTGATCCCAAACGGTCAACTTTTGCGAACTTTATTGAAAATGTGTATGAAGTGAAAGCTTGGGGCCTAAACTGGAACTCTGATAAAAAAGTTACGTGGCTTAGCTTTAGTACTTCCTGCAGGGTTTTGCTCACGAGTATTCAACGATATTTCAAAACTGATTATGCAAGTCTGAAAGCCGCTTTGATTAAAGAACTTCATAGAACCCAAGAGCGTACTCAAACTGCTGCTAGGGACAGTTCAGAGACATGTGTCAAAAACCCCATGAATCCATTGATGATTTCGCCCACCGTCTTCAGGTCAAGGTTAATGAAGCATATCTCTCATTCGCAAAAACAAACAAAAATGAACTCTGTGCTCAAGGATTTTTTGATGGCTTGTCAAGTAAGAAATTGAGAAATCAACTGAACATTGCCATTTTTTCAACAATCTAAATCTCCAAAATTTGATGCTCTTGTAGACATGGCTAGACGTCTTGCGGGTTCTCTGTGTGAGGACAGTGATAAGTCCGTGTTTCTTATCAAGTGCAATTATTGCAAGAAGCCAGGTCACAAGGAGCGACAGTGTTACAAGAAGAAACGGGATTTAGGTTCATCAAATAGTCGTAGCAAGTTTTGTTCCTTAAAGTCAGCAGCTGAATGTCGTGATTCAGAGTCGAGTGATATGTCAAAGTACAGAAACATTCGGTGTTACAACTGTCGAAAATATGGACACATTGCGACTAAATGTCCAGATAAATCCCATGTACATTGTGTTTCTTCAGACACCAACAGAAACTTTCCCTCAATTCCTCAAAATTCACCAACCACACAAATCCGTCTTGGTAGCGAGTCTTTCACTGCAATCATAGATAGTGGAGCTAGCGTCTCGTGCATAAGTGTGTCTTTGCTTAAGAGAGCTTTTCCAAATGGTGTTTGTCTAGAAGAGACAATCTAAATTAACTGATCTGTCGGGTTCTTTGTGCGTTATCGGTGTGTTCGATACAACTATACAGATCAGTGGTGAAATCTATGATTGTAGATTCAATGTGTTGGATGTTCGTGATGACCATTTGTTGCTAGGATGGGACTTTATGTGTAGGTTTGAGGAAATAGTCGTTAAGCCAAAGGAAAAGTCAGCGGACTTTAGATATCTCGTGATCATGTTTTGGTGTATTTGGACGATGTGTTAGTCCATTCCCGTACAGCTAATGAACATTTGGACAGTTTGAGACAGGTATTTGAAAAATTTGCATCCAGTGGTGTTACTTTAAGGCCAGACAAATGTTTTTTCTTCATGGAGAGTGTCCAATATCTAGGTTATGAGATTTCTGCTTCAGGTGTGAGTCCAGGAAAGAAAGGTTTGGAAGCAATCAGGCAGTTTCCGGTTCCGACTTCATGGGAAGAAGTTCGTTCGTTGGTAGGCCTTGCAACGTACTTTCAGAGGTTCATTCCAAATTTTTCAGATCTTATTATGCCTCTCAGTCGTGTTGCTGAAAAGCATGTCTACTGTTGGCAGTTGCCACATCAGGAATCTTTTGATAGGCTCAAGTTGATCTTGACGTCTTACCCTGTTTTGAAACATCCTGATTTTAGTGCAGAGGCGTCGCAGTTCATAATACAAACAGATGCTAGTAAGACAGGTTTAGCGGGAGTGCTTTTGCAAGATGACCATCCCATCAGTTATGCTTCAAAGAAACTTTCCAAAACTGAACGAAATTATTCCACTATCCACCGAGAAGCACTGGCGATAATTTGGGCTGTTAGGAAATTTCGACCCTATGTGTTCGGGAAGACGTTTCGTTTGAGAACAGATCATAAACCTCTGACATACATTTTGACATCAAAATCAGAGAAATTCGCCAGATGGAGTTTAGAACTTTCTGAGTACTCATTTGACATTGATCACATTCCAGGGAATGAAAACATTCCAAGTGATATTTTGAGTCGTAAGCCTGTTGAAGACGCCAATGAATTACCAGTGTTAGCTGTGACTAGAGGTCAAGAAAAACGACGTGATATTATTCTCAAAGCACATGAACTGGGTCACTTTGGTGTAAAAAGAACATGGCAATTAGCACAAAAAGTTGATTCTTCAGTTACACAACGTGAGGTAGCTGAAATAGTGGAGAAATGTACTGTGTGTATAGAGGGTCCACATGCTATAGCAAGGTCTCCGTTAGGTGTTACTGTTACTGCTTCGCGTCCTTGGGAGGTTCTTCATTGTGATTTTGTTGGCCCACTTCCACGTTCGTCTTGTGGTTATTTGTATGTGTTTACATGTTTAGATGATTTGAGTAGGATGTTTTTCGCCTTTCCAGTTCGTACGGCGACGACATCTAGTGCAACAACAGTGCTTGAACGTCTGTTTTCCATATTTGGTCCACCCAGTGTTTTACATATAATGGTACGTAACTGTTTTACATCAAAAGAGTTTTGTGTGTTTACTTCCAAGTGGGGAATTAGATGCAGTTATACTCCAGTTGCTAGACCTCAGGCTAATCCAGTTGAAAGAGCTCACAGAACATTAAAAATTTCTTTAGTGAAAACAGCAGAGTGTGACAAAACGTGGTACAGAGTTTTGCCAGAAATTGTTTTAGCACATAAATCGTTGTTAAATCGTACCACGGGTTTCGCTCCTTATTTAGTTATGTTTGGTCGAACAGTTTGATTCATCAATTAGTGTCAGACGATGTTTCCTCTGTGGGGGAGGAGATGGATAGCTGTGTAGAGGTGTGGGATATGTGTGTCGAATCCCATACGTCGGCTAAATTACATCGTCAGGAGCAGACATCACAAAGAGTGTCAAGGTTGTTTAATGTTGGTGATCGTGTTGCAGTCAAAATATTAGGAGGACACATGTTCAAGAAACATTTCAAGTCCGGATTTGTGGTATCCAAGTGTTATGGTGAGTTCCTACAAGTCAAGTCATCTGATCGTTCATCGAGAGAAACAGTCGTCGTTAGTGTTGATCAAGTCGTGCCAGACTTTTCTTGAGAGGGGAGGGATTTGAGGTTGTTCCTGGTATTTGGACAGTATCGCACGAACGCATCCATCAATAGCGTGCGCCTGCACGTGGACTCGTCAACTGTGTCGTGTGATTGTTTCTCGATTGTAGTGAGTCTCGTCTTTGTCTTCGTCAAGTAAACGTCTCTTATTTGTTCATCTGTGTTGCGTGTTATGTGGGCCTGAAGACCTTACACAACTTTATTGATGACAACTGTTTACTGCAAAGAGCGACGTTTCGATGTAGATTCTTACATCGTTTTCAAGCTAAAAGTGACTACAACCTAATGTGTTTATTCTAAACACGTTTACAGTGCATGAAAAAATTGAGATGGATTAATAATCCGTTTGAAGAGTATTTCAGTTTGTAAATGAGACGACATGATCACCACATTACAATGTGACTTCAGCTTCGGTTAAGGTACGTCGAATAATGCATACCTAAAATCAGTATGTGTCCCTGTATCCCTGCCTGCCTGAGCTGAGCGCCTTCCTCTGGGGTGGCGACGGCGAAGTGCCCGATCCCCCGGGACTCCAGATACCTGGATATCTCCACGCTGCCATGACCGTAGGCGTTGGCTTTCACCACTGCTATGATGTCTGTTAGAAAAAATCGCTTCGACTTTAAAGTAGATGACTTACGTTTATGATTATGATGAGCAAGTGATGATGATGCAAATCCATCGAGTAATAAAATAATACATATCGACATCAGGGGCGGAAACAGCTTTTTGAGAAAGAGGGGTGGGGTGGGGTGGAGTTGGGGGCGGTGGTTGCACAGTTCATGTGCAGGAGAGTTTCAAAGGTCATTTAGTAACCTTTCAGAACAAAGGGGAGCGTCTTTATCCTGTTGAGACTAGTAGAATACAGTTAATGATCGTTACCTGTATGGGGTGAACACCGTTCCTTGAGAATGGAGATGTTCTTGAAGAGGACGTCGAGCTTTATACGAAGGAAGGTGCTGCGTCCGGCCCGGGGGGTACAACTCAGAGTCTGGGGGTGGGGGTTCCATCTCGCCGTTATGGTACATGGTCCTGAAGAGGACATTATACCGACTGCTGGAGTCAACTTTAACAGTCAATCAGTTTACATTACATCTTGAACGTTTCCTAACATGATGCTCCTATATCAATGGGTGTTCACTATCGAGTCTGGACCAACTAAACCAGCAACTAAAGAGCAGGCGCAACGATGAAAGAGGAGGTTGGGATCACCATCCGGCGTGCAATCAACCAGGCCACCTGGCCCGACTTTCCCAGCCGACCCGAAAGGATCAGGGTTAGAATTGGTCTTCAGTAACCCATGCTTGTCGTAAGAGGCAACTAACAGGATCGA